GCAAAATATGTGCTGTTATCTGAAGTTTAGTAACTTTTCTAGTTCTTAGTTCATTTAGAAGTTGTGCTACACAATAATCTAGGATTATTCTTATTTTTTTTTTCAATCAGAACATGCTGCAGTAAGTGCCATTCTATAGTCTGGATTGGAATATATCTTGTTTAGTCTAGTGAATTACCATTTAAGCTCAATCTGTCTGACAGTCTGTTTTTATGCTAGAGTATGCTTATTGTACCATGTTCTGCCAGTTTCTTTTACTTCCTGGTGGTTCCACATTATCTAAAGTAGAATGAAAAGTATTCTAAGCATTCAGTCATAACATCCAATTTGGTAGCTTCAGACAGACAGCGGGTAGTTGATCGATCTGGGAGGTTTTCAATAAAACTATTTGCTGTGGAGGATGTTATAATATGGTTGACATGACAGTGTGATGATGATCATATAACTGAATTGCATTTCATATAAAATTAAATAATGATCTGAGATTTGTAATAAATAACATGCAATAACTACTTCAGGGATAAAAAAAAAATAAAAGAATAGAAATGATACATGATACACATAAAGGCTTGTCACAGTACTCAGACTCACTTTGTGTAGAAGACAGGTTGGGTTGACATAGTACAGGGAAGAAGTAGGACACCTTACATCTAGTCCACTTCCCCAGTGAAACCTGTACAAGCCCAAATGAAACTGTGCCGGACAGTATAAGTATGACCCCCATTAAAGTCGCAAGAAAGTTCAAGAATGTGTGGGTCTCTAAACCACATTCATAGTTGGATTTTGTAGTGAAGTAAGAGCATAAAAGTAAGAAAGGAAATGTAGAGTATACTGTTAACAGTCACTGAATGTATTCTTTCATGTCGGTTGTGTTACAAAAAATAAGGTGAAATCATTAAATAATTTTTGTTGTGTCTTTGTTGGGTCACGGGCAATATCTGTGTTACTGGCACAGAACAAGGGAAACTTATTGTCAGTGTAGTAATACTAGGGAACATGGCTACTATATTTGTTATGAAGATGGTTTGCTACAATCATTTCTTCAGGAAAAAAAGGAAAATAGGTTTTGCATGTTGTATTATGCTTTACACATGTTCAGCCATTGAATGGTGCTGCTGTAGGTACTGCAAGTACTAAATATGGTGGGGAAAGTGTGATTAAAGAAAAGGAACATCCATATCTGTGTTTTTCTTTTATCCTGTCCAAACTTGCCATCAGTAACTAAAAACAGTGTCGTTCATTGTCATTTTTGACAAACACATTCACAAACAATGTCAGCACTATCCACATAAGATTTAGGAATATTGGTTAAAACAAATGCATCACAGCAAAACACGCTCAAATCCTAAACTACATAGTAGAATCAGTAGATCAGATGCTAAAACAGTCTTACTAGCTTAAGCTGAGATAAGCAGAGAGAGGACCCCGAGCTATCGCTGCAAGATACTCACCCAGCACTTTACAGCAATTGAGTCCCAATGGTGAACAAAATCAAATCTGAATTGTCTAGTGAAACGATGCAAATAAAAACAATTCAATGTTTTGACTCTACCCTCCTTAATTGTACATGTTGTAACCCCAGCATTGCTTATCACAGTTACTTTTATGTAAATAATAATGTATTTTGCACTTCTGCTTATATCAGTCAGGAGAACAGGGCTTGCAGGAATGTTGTCTTTATTCAGAGAGTGCTCTATCCATCTGCAGTAACCCAGTCTGACAACAGTTCTAATATAAAGGCTTCTATACTGAGCATTTTGCCTGCAGCTAGTAGTCCTGCTGAGAATTATGTCAGGACAATAGACGTTCTCTTGTAAACACATACAAGTAGCTGTTTATGAAGTCAGGACACACCTATGATCAATAGCTGACACAATTGGTGTAATAGCTTAGAGTGCAGGTTTTCTTCACACCAAAAAGGAAATGATTAAAATAATTAAAATAAATGAAAATAAAAATAACTGCACAGTTATTAAAATATCAAATTACTTTCATTTGGAGAAGGATGTCCAATTGGTAATGTCTAGATTTCTCTTCAGTGTGTGCGATTAAGTTGAATTTATCAAAGGTTTGTAATATGGCAGTCGACTGTGGATGAAGTTGTTCCTGCTTTCTCCTTAGTTTGTCCTCCTGGGTTTAAGAATATGCTTAGGGTTCAATGCAGCAATATATAGGGCCCGCGTTATTTTAAGTGTTTCTAATAACTGTGTAGTTACATGTGAACAACATATACAACAAATAATGTAACTGTTAATGATTTAGTCACTGTTGCAGATGGATAAAGGAGGATACCTTATGTAATTACACGTGTATCAAGTTCAGTTTTGCCTCAGGTAATTACACAAATGTATCTTAATAATTGTAACAGCCTATTCTCTCTCACATAATTATACAAGGGTAATAACACAAATGTAATTACATTTGTAATCAGACTATAACAGCAGTTTTGTTCAGAACCTTTTTTTACAGCAGTAAAAAGGAAGTATGTAATAACATATATTAAGACATAACATTAACACTGATGCTAACACTGTATCTGTCAGCTTTCCTAACATTTAGCTAGCATTTATGTTGCTAGTGCTGTGACACTGTAATCAGTTTCAACTTGAAACCATTCTGTTATGTGACAGAACAGCAGACGGCCCTTTATCTTAAAAATGTACCTTTAATGACATCAATATGTTGCATTACTATATTACCAATGCATTACTTCACAGTACCTAACTACACAGCAACTGTCCACTTATTTTAAAGTGTAACTTTAACACTACACTGCAGGAAAGTTCCTGTATAGTTGCTATATTGGTACAATGTAATTAGAGAATGGTATTAATCAATGTAATGCAATTAGGTTACCTTGTTACAACACAGTTATCCCACAGTAATTATGTAAAATAAATGTAATGTTATGTAAAACATACTTCTTTTAATTGCTGGAAAAGACTTCTGATACTGTAGGGTATCAAAAAGATACACAGGTGTAATTACATAGGCTGTACTTCTGTAATTCATCTGTAACATTGACTAAATCATCAGTAGTTACAGTGTTGTTGCATATGTTATTCATAACTACACAGCTATTGGAGACATTTAATATAAAGTGGGACTATATATACTGTAAGCACAGGTATCATCTATGTTTGCTACATTTACTAACAACACTAATCATACTGTCATCAGGACTTCTTTCATTAATCATGTTACACACTTGGGCAGATTCAGATGCAGTGCAACCTATTCAGTAAAATCACTGGTAACACTGACGTTGGTTAACTCAATGGAAACTGATCTGTTAGATTCTGCATCATCCCCTATTAGATCTTTCATCATTCTCAATAATTTATGAGTCCTGCTCAGTTTAATTACCTGTGTTTTAATCTTTTCAATCAAGGCTTCTGGCCTAAATATAATGCGCCTTTTTGTTCTTTCAGGTTATTGGTGAGGTACATCATAAAATAAACACTGAGTAGTCCCAGCAGACTCATCCACAAATTCTCATGTATCGTTTTTTTTTTTTCATCCAGTGGTCTAATCAATCAGTACTAAACCAATTTGCTCAGAATAATATAAGAAAGGAAGAAAACTTGTTTAGTCATTGAGTGAAATCTGGTCAAATAATTCCATGTAGATAAATCAATCCCTTTCAAGTGGGGAAACTGTACAGATCCAAGAAAATAACTTGAAAGGCATCTTAGTAAATCAAAGATTTAATGTATTTCCCTGAAAGCACAGTTCCTTTTGATAGGCAACAATATTGCCTGGAGACCTGTCATTGTTACCAGTGTTTTTCACAATGAAATGGATGAAGAGAATGACCTATAGTGATGTGAAAAAGTATTTGCTTATTTAGTATTTAACTTATTTCTTCTATTTTTGCTAATTTGTCATATTTGAATGTTTCAGATCATGAAATTCATTTTAACACAAGATAGACAATACAAGCAAACATAAAATGCAGCTTTTAAATGACCGTTCCATATATTGAAAATAAAGACTTATTCAAACCCTATATTCCATGTGATAAAGTGATTGCTCACCTATACCTAATAACTGGTTGTGGCACCCTTGGCAGTAACAACTGCAATCAAACCTTTGCAATAACTTGCAATAACTCTTTTTCATCACTGTGGAGCAATTTTGGCCCACGCTTCTTTGCAGTATTGTTTTAATTTGGCTACATTGGAAGGTTTTCGAGCATGCTGCCTGTTTAAGGTCGGGTCTGAGCACCTCAGTGGGATTCAAGTCAGGAAATTACTCAAAAACCTTCATTTTGTTTATTTTGAGCCATTTAGTGTTGGACTTGCTTGTGTGCTTTAGATTACTGTCCTGCTGCATAAAACAACTGTGCTTGAGCTCTTGGTGAAATTTTGGTAGGCCGCCACTCCTAGAATGATTCACCACTGTCCCAAGTTTTTTCCATTTGTGGATATTGGCTCTCACTGGGGTTCACTGGAGCCCCAGAGCCTTAGCAATGGCTTTGTAACTCTTTCCAGACTTGTAGATTTCAGTGACTTTCCTTGCATCTGTATTTGAATCTCTTTAGAATATGGCATCATGTGCTGCTTTTTAAGACCCTCTAGTCTGCTTCACACTTCCAGACAGGGTCTATTTAAGTGATGTTTAGATTCAACAGGTCTGGGAGTAATCATGCCTGGGTTTGACAAGTGAAAGCAGTTAATTGGATTTGGTTAACTGGTTGATTTATTAGATGAGGGGGCAATTGCTTTTTCTCATATGGCCAAGTATTTTCGTTGTTGAGTTACTCTTCATTTTTATGTATTTATTGCATACTGCAGAAATGTTTCTTTCTCTAATTTTTTTCACACCAAATTTGTTCCACTGTTATGCTTCTCCAGTCAATGATGCTAAACTTTCAAGAGAAATAATGTATTTAGCTTAACTTAGGATGATGTGATGACTTCAACTATACTTCTATGTGTTCCTAGAAAAACTTTCAGCTTCTTCACCACTGATTCATTTTTTATTGGTTTCTTTACTAGCTTCTTTTAATGACCCCTGCAACAACTACACTGCTCTGGATCAACCCTGGAGAGCCACGAATTCAACTGGACTGTGGATCTCTGACAGAAAGTTCAACTGGAATGGCTGGTATCGGCTGCTGTATTATGGGATGGACATCCGTATGCCAGAGAGCTGTGTTGATGAATACAGATGTGGTACTGATTACACTCTATGGCTGAATGGTCCTCATCCTCAGATAGGGGATGGAATAGTCACTCGTGGAGTCTGTGGGAGTGCAGAATGGAACTGCTGTTTCCTCAATTCCATCACAATTCGAGTCAAAGCATGTCCAGGGAACTATTATGTCTATGAGTTTGTCAGACCATACTACTGGTCTGCTTACTGTGCAGGTATGTAGTTGCTTCTCTAAGCTTTGACTTGCATTTTTAAAGAAGTTTGCTAATAATTATTAGACTTTCATATTAGTTTTAATATGTCCACATGTCATCTTTTCAGATGTGAACACCATCACTTCAACAATCGCCATAGCAACAGCGACGAGTGTTGTATCATCAAGTATGATAACTAGTAGGTTTACACTGGCATCTATATTATCATCAGTTATAATTTTATATTAAGGGTGTACTCCACATTTGTAAAGGCAATGCTTACAGGTGATCCAGTATTAGTATCAGACTGGTTGAAAAGCATCATATTTTCATGCTGGCAGTGCAGTCTGATTGCGTAGTAGTGACATGTTACTAATTTTGTTGGATGTAATCCCATTCATATCCATTTGCTATTTTTGTGGGCAGAAATGATAGAGACTGTAACAACGTGGGTGGAGAGACACTAGACTGGAGTGAAACCTCAGGTTGTGAAAGGGTGTAAAAGTTTTCAAACCTATTTTTGCCCAAAAATGTGCTTGCACTACTGCTTCCTTAGACCTCATCTTATTACAAAAGAAAGTGCAAAATTTTCCTGGCTTCAAGCACAGCAAATTTGTCCTAGTGTGAATCTATGGACCAATACTATTTAAATAAGTAACTTCTCCCAATTACCAACTAAATACAACAGACTTATGTTGCAACTGTTGTTAACTGTTGTGGCAACAAAGTTTGAGTAATTGGTGTGGAACATGATATAATTAATAGAATCAATGTAATGTCTTACAAATCCAAAATCTGGCTAAGTTATAATATACTGAATTTTTCCCCATTTCCTTTCATTCATGTGGCAGGAAAAAATAAGGAACATGCAGACAGGAATTCTAAGGTAGATTTATACAGATGTCATCTTTGTTGTTTTTTTTTTTTTTTCAAAGTCACACATTCAAAAGAAAATAAGGAAAACTGTCTGTGAACTGATCTTCCCTCAATGTACAGCACATCCGTAACATAAAGCCAAACAAAGTGATGCATACAAACGTTCCTACATTATTATTTTTTTTTTTCTACTTTCATTTAGTACACACTTGGATGGTTCTCCAAGGGTCTTTAGCAAAGGCAGTGGTTATTTTTAAAATTACATATATAGCTCTAAAAACTTTCTTTCCCATGCAAAGTTCTATTAATGTTTTCAACAGAATGTTTTCATTCCCAGAATATTCTTCTGAAATGGTAGGATAACATTCTCTAAATGTAATGATTATCACAGAACAGAGACACTCGCAGATAAAGGAATACAAGCAGGCTTTAATGATGAAGTCAAAATCCAAAATCGTCGTCAAAAAACAAGTCAAAGCACAAAAACAGAGATGCAGTGCAAACAATCCAATGGGCAAATCAAAAATCAGAGTCAGGGAAACAAGAATGCAAGTCATATACGGTCATCAACACAATAGAAAGAATGCTCAGTAGTTTGCAGATGAAACAATACCATGCAACTAACTACTGCTAAAGCCCGGGCTTATAAGCTAAACTTATGAGGTCATGTGATCATAGATACAGGTGCTGCACATTAAAACTCAGGCTGAACGCTGACAGGAGTGTGTGTGGAGACCAGCAGTCAGCTGATGAAGTCCGTGTGTGTATCAGGGTTTGTAGGAAGCGAAAAGGCCTTTGATCTCCCAGAGGATTCTTGGAGATCGAGTCCATTGCCTTGCTGGTGACATTCGTGACACTAAACATTCTAAGAATGTTTTGTGATAACATTTGATAACATTATGTCCAAACATTATTAAAACATTTTCAGTGGCAATCAGTTTGTCCATCTGAATTTACATGACCAAATGTAAGGCAAATTATTCAGTAACTGCATGAAATACATGTAAATTTGCCTTTTATTTATTTATTTATTTATGTATTTATTTATTTTTTAAAAGCTCCCCTCAAATTAACAGAACATGTGTTTTATGATCATACACATATTGCTATATTGCATATTGCTTACAATTTATTGCTGAAAGCCAAAAATCTTACACGCTCTTTGTATTATTTTATAAAAATAATTTTTACAGAGCAGATCACTGAAGAGACGCCATCTGTTTATAGTTTATAGCCCAGATTTGAGGAAAAATGGGTCGACTTTCAGTAGAAAAAAAAAGAGAGAGAGAGTTCAGCTTCTTCTATTATAAGGGTTTAAAATTACATCACCCATCTATTTGACTGGAAAGAAGACAGTTACAGCTCTCATATCACACCCACCTTTTGAATGTAGCTTGAATATAGCCAAGGCTGGTGATAGCTTAAAACATTCTTTCCTGTTGACTCTATTCTTCTTCTCTGACTAACTAAAAATTCCTTGCGTCCAGGTTTTGCTCCAGCTGTAGACCATCCTCCTTTGGGGTGGGGCCAGAGTGCTGATAGGTCCTTCTAACCTAACGGTGATTAGCTATTCACAGTCTCCAATTCTGATTGGTGGCACTGCTTACGAGTGCCTCTCCCTTCATAGGTTATCCCAGTTTCGATTACTCTGATTCGCCATATTGGAATAAATGAAAAGTATCAGTGACAAATATGTTTCAAAATACCATAACATTTTGAATCATTCCCTTGAAACTTGCACAACTAGGAAAACAAACAAAACAAAACATTCGGTTATATTTCATAAAAGACAGTTGGAACACCATCTATATAAATTACATTTACATTTACAGCCTTTAGCAGATGCTCTTATCCAAAGCGACTTACAAAAAGTGCTTTGTCTATCCAGAGAAAGTGTCTTTACTAGTTACCAATAGGTGTGTCTTCAGTCTGTGTTTGAAGACAGCGAGAGACTCTGCTGTTCGGACAGCCAGTGGGAGTTCGTTCCACCACCTGGGTGCCAGCACAGAGAACAGTCTTGATGCTTGCCTTCCGCGCACCTTGAGGGATGGCAGGTCAAGCCGAGCTGTACTCGAAGCTCGAAGGGCTTGTGGTACAGTTCGAGATTTCACCATTGCCATCAAGTAGGGAGGGGCTGGTCCATTTTTGGCTTTGTAGGCAAGCATTAGGGTTTTAAATCTGATGCGTGCAGCTACAGGAAGCCAGTGAAGGGAGCACAGCAGTGGGGTGACGTGGCTAAACTTGGGAAGATTGAAGACGAGCCATGCTGCTGCATTCTGGATGAGTTGCAGAGGCTTGATGGCCTGCATTAGAAGACCAGCCAAGAGCAAGTTGCAGTAGTCAAGATGACAAGAGACTGCGCTAGCACCTGGGTGGCCTCTCGAGTGAGAAAGGGTCGGATCCTCTGGATGTTGTACGGGAGAAATGTGCATGACCGAGTGGACTGGAAACCTGTGTGTCAGAGGGTGAGAAAGAAAGCATTAGTTGAGTGTCATCAGCATAACAGTGATTAGAGAAGCCATGAGATGATATTACATTGCCAAGAGAGCTAGTGTAAAGAGAAAAGAGAAGAGGACCTAGCACCAAGCCTTGTGGGAAACCAGTGGAGAGCCTGCATGGAGAGGATGTGGACCCTCTCCATGTTACCAGATAAGAGTGATCCTCCAGATAGGACTTGAACCACTCCCATGCAGAGCCAGTGATTCCAAGGTTGGAGAGGACGTCCGAAAGGATTGTGTGGTTGACTGTGTCAAAAGCTGCTGAGAGGTCAAGAAGAATCAGGACAGATGACAGACTGGCTGATCTTGCTGACTGGAGCTTCTCGGTCACTGCTATAAGAGCAGTCTCCGTTGAGTGCGCTGGTTTGAAGCCAGACTGATTGAGGTCCTGGAGCTGGTTCTGTGTGAGAAAGAGAGACAGTTGATTATAGACTGCACATTCAAGAATTTTTGAAAGGAAAGAAAGGAGTGATACTAGTCTATAGTTGTTGACATCAGAGTGGGCTTCTTCAGGATGGGAAGTACTCTTGCAGTCTTCAAAGTTGATGGAACTTCACCTGATGAAAAGGACTTGTAATGAGGAAAGTGATGAAGGGCAGTAGATCCTTGGAGATTGACTGGAACAATGCGGATGGAATGGGATCCAGTGGGCAGGTGGTTGGGTTACTGGATTAAAATTAAAAGAGGCAAAAACACACACTTTGTATAGTATCTAGGTATAGTTTATTATGAGTAATGACATTACTGATATTACAAAATAAATAAGTCTGAAGGTCATCTACAGGTACTTGACACAACCAATGTAACAGTGGCTGTGGACAATAACAATTGGTGGACACAAACATTTATGCACGCAGGGTTGACACCATCCTACAGGGGTTATGGGCGGTAATGAATCGTTAGTCAGACTAAAGCATGATTAAGGCTATAGGCTTGTGGGATATAAGCTATTCCTGCAACATTATGAGGGCAGAATCCTCATTGTCTTCCACCTGAGGACTAGAGGGGTTGCTACGCTCAGCTCTCCTGCGCCTAAACCAGGTGTCTAGTGTATTTTGTAGAGCTTGGGTATGCTTGACATAAAAGCACATCATGTCTGAGGTTAATATAAGTTAACAATGTGGCAGGGGCATGAGTAAGTAAAGGGTTGAGTGGACCAGAGAGTTTGAGAAGCAATCTTTTTGAGCATGTTATCGATGGGGTGAGGTCAGTGACTTGAGTCCCCTTGTATTGAATCCGTGTGAGGGTATTGGGGTCTAACTTCAATGGGTGCTTGGTGAAGAAATTAGGGATTTCAGTTTCACTCTTATATTGATCAGGATTTTAATGGTACAGGGCTACATCCCCAATATGTAGGACAGCATTCTTATTTACATTAGCCCAAAGGTTTGGTTAGGTAGAGGGACCTGATCAAAAGTGTCATGTTGGTTATAGGTTAATAAAGCATCCTTAGTGGGGGTGTTCACCAACCAACGATTGGCAAAAATTTCTGCCTGAGTGGCAATTAGTAGGTCTTGGGGTGTGATGGAAACATGACATGGGTTTAAGGCCGTAAACACCACCTATACTGTCATGAAGAAAGTGTTTACTGGGACAAAGGTAGTGTATGTATCTTGCAAGAGTACTAATGTGCAAGTTGGGAACAAGGTACAGGCTGAGACTGTCATCATGACAGGCTTGTGGGCTAACATTAACAGTAACATCGCTGCCTAGTGTATAAGCTAGGTGGGCCTTTGGGTCAATAACCATTTCTCTGGTAGCAGTAGTGAAAACGTTCTGTACCAAGGACAGGGGTATGAGGTACACTATATGGACAAAAGTATTG